TTCTTCTGCTTCTTCACCTCCTTCCTCTTCTTGGCGATCGTGCCTGCCGATTTATCGCCTTCATTGCGTAATCCAATCAATCTCAATTCACATTTAATTCCATTTTTTTCGTGTTTTTTAATGATATGTTCTGATTGATTTTTTGAATATTTCTTTCGTACATGCAGAGCACAAGCAGTTGATTGGAGAGAACTCAGTCATAGTGGGGAATCTCTCCTCTGTGATTGAATTGTAATTTTTTTTAATTTTCTTTTTATGTAAAAGAAGTGATTTTTTTTCTTTTTTTTTTCCCTTTTGGATGCAGAGGCAAGCGAATGAGAAGCTGAATTCAATTAAGCAGGTGGTTTATTTGTTAGATGAAGGTTTAGTTTTTGTTTCTGGAGGAAACTGCAGCTGAGTTGAGCTAGGCTAGATTTAATAGTATTCGATATGTTTGTACGAGCAAATCCAAATCTAGAAATTCAAACCCCAAACTGGACCATCTGTTTCATTGGATGTGATGTATAATACGCATGACTGCTGCAAAACGCATTTTCAATGATTTTTATTTTCTACTAATCGTGAGGGGGACAAGGAATTAAGTAACTATACGGAGATTTTGAAATGTTACTATTGACACCAAAGATATATAAGCAAAATATGTTTAACTACTTCGAATTTTTATTTCTAGATAGTTGGTCGGTAGTAAATCATATCTAATTCTCCAAATTTTCAATTTTGAAATCCAAAATTTAGAGTTAGGTTGATAGCATTTGTTGGATATTGTTGATAGTACCATAGCTAAACTCAAACTCTGTTTTATGTTTATTTGGTTCTTTTAATTTGTTTTGTACAGGAAGTCGATGGGGGAGTGAAATTGCCTGCTGGAATTATTTTGAAAGATAAACACTATCACGAGACAACAGCCAATGACGTAGGAAATGACCATACTGGGGGTAATTTATTGACAACTGTTAGTTCTTATTCACATTCTTTCACAGTAATATTGTTTTGTTGTTTGGATTTTTACATGTTTTGTCACCTTATTTGTAGGTTTGCGAGGTGATGGTGCAGATGAGGAATTTCAGTCGCAGGATATAGCTAATTTTCCTGATCAAAAGGTGAATCATTTATTTTATTTTTGTTGTTATTTTTAGTCACATAGACTATTATACCTTATATGTTGTTACTAATTTTTCACAATTTAATTCAGTGTTTCATTTATGCTCCATTTATGTTGTCAACTCTGCTCAATCAGAAAATTAAGAATCTTACTAGGATATTTGATGGTAAAATTAATCAAATTACCTATTGTTGAATGATATTATATAGTCTACTTGGATCATAACTAGAGTGGCCTCCTTGGTTTTATGATAATCATAAAGCAACAGAGTATGGGAATCATAGTGTTCAAACTTTCCACCTTTTTTTCTCCATTCCTTTAAAGGTTCTTGAAATTTCTCTGGCTTTTGAGCTGCAGGAGAAATCTACTCTGGTATCAACAGGAGAACAAAGTGGAATCCATGTGAAACAACCATTAATAAGTGAGAAGGTGAGTGAGATGGAAGATCAGCTAATCACCGCAAAGATGTACTTGCAATTTGCTCCACCAAATAGCAATTCCCGTTTAGTAAGAGAGCTGAAAGTAAGAATAAAAGAGATTCAAAAGGTACTTGGTCAGGGCAGAGGTTCAAATTTACCAAGAAAGTAAGTTAACAATGACATGTTCATAGTTAGTAATTGGTCATAGAGATTATATCATATATTGTGATTGAGATGAGAAAAACTGTCCAGCGCTTTACAGAAAATGAGAGCCATGGAAGATACTTTGTCCAAGGCCAACAAAGCTTATCCAGAATGCTCTGCTATGGCATCGAAGCTACGTGCTATGACTCAAAATTCTGAAGAACAACTAAGAGCGCAGAAGAATCAAGCTTCTTATCTCATCCAGCTTACCGCCAGCACCTTCCCTAAAGGTCTTCACTGTCTATCCATGCGGCTTACCACACAATACTTCGCTACAGATCCCAAAGTTTGGCAGTTTCCTAATAAAGACAAAATGCAGAAAAAAAATTTATATCATTATGCCATTTTTTCTGATAATATTTTAGCGTGTGCCGTGGTGGTGAACTCAACCATCTCTTCTTCTGCTGTGAGTATTTACCTAATTTTTTTTTCTGCTGTTCTTCACTTTTGACTATTTCTTTGTACAATATTATGATGCATCCTATATTCTTCAATATTGCTGATTAACACACACACACACACACACACACAAACACACACACACATATATATATATATATATATATATAGATATATATTTATATATATATATATATATGAGAAAAATGGGTATGCTTGGTACCAAGCACAAAAGTTGTGCTTGTCCCAAGCAACCCATCTCTCTCTCTCTCTCTCTCTTATAATATATATATATATATATTATATATATATATATATATATATATATATATATATACTATTAATATATATATATATATACTAAGAGAGGAGAGAGAGAGGAGAGAGACGAGAGAGAGCAGAGAGAGAGAGAGAGAGTAGACTTATGTCAACTTAAGTGTATATATATATAGAGAAATATGGAGAACTTGGTACCAAGTTGCTTAAAACAACTTGGTAGTGATGTGGCATAATCTTGACCCTACATCACACCTCGAGATAGGCCTCAACCACCCCTTCACCAACTCCTATGTAGATGAGGATCAAGATTTAGGCACATCACTACCAATTGCTTGAAGCAACTTTGGTACCAAGTTCTCCATTTTTCTCATATATATATAAATATATAGAGAGAGAGAGAGAGAGAGAGAGTAGAGCTTATGTCAACTTAAGTGGATAGCAAGTTTTCTCCACCAAAGTTTTTAATCCACTCACATATATATATAAAAAAGTCTCTTCAATCTCTCATGGATCCCTAGGCAACATCAATGGGTAAGAAAGTAGGTGGATGGTCCACTTAAGTTGACATAAAATTTCTCTCTCTCTCTCTCTCTTCTCTCTCTATATATATATATATATATATATATATATATATATATAATATATATATATATATAATATTTATATGTCCAAATGTTATTTGTATTACTTTTCCTTTGTATTTGGTTTTGGTTTCACTGATGCATGTTGAATAATTCAACCAAAAGACTAGATCATGTATGGATTATACACCAGAACTTGCTTGCGTATCATATGTCAGATAGACCTTATCATGCAAATCTTTTTATCCAGAGCCTACCCAAGTTTCTCTAGTGTTTGACTCCTTATTCTTTGTGTAAATTTGTGCTAGACAAAATGATGATAGTTTTACTTAAAAAACATAATTATGGACCATCTTTTCTAGTAATGAGATGACATTTTATTGTCAGTATGCCATTAAACTAGGATAATGAATACCGAGAGTATGGTGGAGGCTAGTAGTTAATGTGCTAGAAATTTAGTCATGACCAAACTTTATGGTTGGCTTGGATCAAGTGAAATTTGAATTGGACATTTTGTTATAGTATATACTTCACATTCTGAAAGATATGGCCTTTAGCTTCGTTTGAGATGGATCCACTTTTCCCTAAATTGTTTCCTTTCAAATAGATGATTGATCTAGTTGTGGAATCTAATTTTTTGTCACAAGTTGTGATGGTAAGAGTTCTGAGTTGATTCTGGCTAAATGTAATTAGTTGCATGTTTGGTGAAACAAATGATGTTGAGCGTAACTACAATTTTGATACATAAAGTTGGGACTGAGAGAGAAATCATTTAATCCATACTAGTGGCGAAATTAGTAAACATGGAAAGATATTGTAGTTGAGGTTCATCTGGACCTTTGTTCTCCTAGTAAGCCACTATATGCATAGTCTTCCTTACGTGTTTGGAAAGATTGGTTCTTGTGAATTATTTTTGTGCCATCAATTCATGTTTAGAGATGTAAGATTTTCAAAAACCCACCAATTCTTCTAAGTTATTTAGATATTTTTCTCAATGGAATGCAAAGCACCCTATATATCTTGGTGGAGAGTCTGAATTATTTCTATTTTTTTAATCAATATAAGATTGCCCTTATAACTTTTTCTTCGTATTTGGAACATAACTTTAATTGTACTTGTTCTTCATGCAATTCTGCTATATTGAATTTCATCTGCCTTTTACCTTGTTTTCCTAGATTCTTAGTTTACCCTTCAAGATGTTATATTTTTTTATGCACATAATAAATCTCGTAAGATAATAAGCATCTTCGTCACTATTTTGATCTAGTTAGATGTCAACATTCACCGCTCTTGTCTATTATAGATCTGCATTAAAGAAAGTCATAAGAGCTTGATATCTTTCCATTTGTGGAGTTACTGTTTCCAACAAAGATCGCCATGCCTCAACTTCTCTTGAACGTCACTAATACTTAAACTGATTACGTGATCAGAAGTTGAAAATGGATACGTTTGGTTAGCTGCTTTATCTTGATCTATACACACCGTTATTAGTAGAAATAAGCATGGTTCATCTCCAGAATTATTAATTGCATTTCTTCTTTCTCGAGAAACTAAATGTGGAACAATGATGCTGGGAGTTCCTACAAAGAACTGACTCTAAACTTGAAGAAGTGTTTGGTTACCTACTTGTACGACTTTTGAATTCTGTGGCAACATGGTCACCACACGTAATAAACACTATTTTAGAGAGTTGCATTTTAGACAACTTTGTTCATGAGGGGTTCCTTACTGCCAAGTTGATGGAGTTTGGGTGTGCCGTCTCTTTGTTCAGCAGTAATGTTGCTGATGAAGATGCTATGAGAAAGTAAAATGAGCATATTTCACGGTAGGTGGAAATGTTGGGTGTCCACCTCTCACACAGGGAAGCACATTGCTATGAAACATGGGAATGTTATGTTGACAGGATTTAGCTTTGCTGGTAATATATATACTTCACTTTAAGTCAAACATAGGAATCCACAGGGAAATCTTGGATTCCCAAGTGAATTCCTACCTGCCGAACACAGCCTTTATTTTCTCTACATGAAAGGTGAAAAAAATTTGGATCAAGGATTGAGTAATGCACTCAAGATGATCTCAGGTAATAAGAGAAACCTGTTTTATCTAGTAAGCTCTGAAGAAAGAAATTCTTCTGACACCTCTTTAATAATCTTTACTGGGAATACCTTTCTTTAACGATACACTTTCCACTCCTCTAACTTGCAATTTTTTCTTAAGAACCTTTTACTTTGCATAAATATTTGTCGGAGTTTCCTTATTTCTTACTTGTTTATCTGACACACAATCTTAATTGCAACTTGCACGTTACATGCTGTTTAAGTTTCAATTTAATTAAACCTTGCAACCTTGTCAAATAAAATAATTTGTACGTATGATAGCATGTTTCATTTTCTATTTTCTCAGAATGATGATTGCACTTGTCCCTTATAAATCATATCTGCTTTTGTCTTCATTTAAATTCTTTCGTTCTTGCCCCATATTTAGAGAGTCCTCCCTAGTTCTGTCAGCTTAGACTATCGAATTGATTGGATTAGCTTTTCTGATCAACAACCAGGCTACTGGTTTCAAGATCACTGCACCTATTTTTAGTAGTTGGCCCAATTTAGAATTTTTCACCAGCGTTACCCCAGTTCCTAAATCTGTCCATTTGTAAAATAGCACTGTTCATTTGTATTAATTATTTTTGTATTTATTACGAGAGATTATTCTCATATTGTATATTATGATTAGGTATTAAGATGCTATCATCTTAGTATTTTAATATTGAATGCTCTTGTTGTATTCCTGGTTTCCTTAATTCTAACTCCAACAAATATGGAAATATAAAAATGCTCCATAAAACATGTGAAACATAAACTTTGTTTAAGATGATCCCCAGTGATGATCTGTATTTGGATGAGCAAATGTCCCTTTTTGGTTGCATAATGCATTTATTCATGAGCTAAATGATGTTTTTTCCCGCTCTTTCACAGGTACCTGACAAAATTGTCTTTCATGTTGTGACTGATTCTCTTAACTTCCCATCAATGATGATGTGGTTTCTGTTGAATCCACCTGGTCAAGCCACAATCGAGATTCAAAACATCGACAAGCTCAAATCACTCCCTGATGATTTTACTTCAATGATTAAGCAGTCGGGTGTACGAGATCCAAGATTCATTTCCCCACTCAATCATCTCCGCTTCTATTTGCCAGAAATCTTTCCTTACCTAAACAAGATTTTACTTTTGGATCATGATGTTGTGGTTCAGAAAGATCTCAGGGGGTTATGGAAAATGGATATGAAGGGAAAAGTCCTTGGAGTGGTTGAGACATGCGGGAAAGGTGATGCATCTCATCGGTTGGATATGCTTGTTGACTTTTCTGAACCAACCATTGCAAATAATTTTGACGCTGAGGCATGCCTGTGGGCATTTGGGATGAATATCTTTGACTTGCATGAGTGGCGAAGACGTGGGTTAACTCGAGTTTACAATAAATGGCTTCAACTGGTAAGCACAAAATTTTGACACTTCTTCTGATCTATTATGTCTCTCAAAGTTTATATTTCTTGTCTTTTAAGAAAATATTTAAAGTGGGTCCAATAAAATATATGTCAGTACATTTTTTAAACTATGAAGGTTAAAAATCCATAGTACAATTTCACATTTTCAGTGTAGAGTTAAAAATTCATAGTACACTGTTTAACCCATGTGAGAGGATTCGTCTATCAAGTTGATAGTCCGTGTAATAGGTTTAATCTACTAGGCAGAAACTATGTAGAAACGAAAAAGTAGAATTACTTGTGTGACTTATTGATGTGTCAATACCTACAAAATTATGTTTTTTTAATTTCCATGAAACTAGTTAACTTGTTGTTACTTGATTCATGAGTAAATCACATCTCATTTACTTCTGTGTTTCTAGATATTTTTTGTCTTGTAGGTTAAATCTAGTACCATGGTTTTTAATTTGAAAAGTAAATCCTCAAATTTGGATTGATAATATATGCATGTTGGATATCATTGATAGTTTCTTAGGTCAGCTTGTATACATATACAAAAATATGGGTTTTTTTTGGTGGTATATATACCTCCGTAAATCATCCATATTTACAAAATTACCCCCCAAAATCTCAATATTTGCAAAGAATCCCCAATTTATCAACCGTGAAAAACATACCCCCAGGTCTCTCTACTTGTCAAAAGGTTTAGAGTATGTTTTACTGTTTGACCCTTTGCAATTAGCTTAGATCTAATGCAAAAAACTGTTGGATGAGTAGAAACGCTAGATCTAGGGGGTATTATTTTCCAATTAAAGTAATGTAGAAGCTGATGATAAGTAAATACAGCATTAACTAGTATCATCATTGGACTTTTCAATAAATTTGCTTGATTGTTTCTTTGCTTTCAGAAAACATGAGTCAGTATTATATCACTTCTTACTCGAGATTTCATTATAAGACCCTTTACCTATATATGAGTTTTCATTCTCTAAGTTCATCTCTCATAGCTATCATGTCTGTGCAGGGAAGGAGCAATCATGGAAGGCAGGAAGCTTACCATTGGGCCAGCTCACATTTTACAACCACACATTAGCTTTCGACAGGAGATGGCACTTGGTTGGCCTCGGACAAGATTCAGGCATCGATGGAAAAGAGATCGAGAGGGCAGCAGTCATCCACTACAATGGATACATGAAACCATGGCTTGAGATTGGTATTCAGAGATTCAGAGGTTACTGGAACAACTTCCTCAATTACGATCAGCCGTATCTGCAGCAATGCAACATTCATGAGTAGGATTAGTCACATTTCCCATTCTTTCTCTTCTTCTCATGTAAACTAATAGAGCTCATCCCAATTCTTTTTCGGTAGACCCCCGACAGAATAAGAGTGCTCCTTTCGAGTTCTCTTTTCCCCTTTACTTTCTTATTACCCGCAGGATTGGTTCATGGTTCTTGTAAGAATATGTTAACATGTACATTTGATTCGAAAATTTTCTGATTACTTCTGGTCATGTACTCATAAAGATATTGTCTCAAATTGCATGGAAGGATGATTTGTACATGTGGAATGTACTGATCCAATACTTGAGGATGAAAGTTCTGATGAAAGTTTTCCTTGTCGACTAATTTCCCAGATTTATTACACAGTGCCCCGCTGATATGCTCTGAACTTTACAAAGTCGACGATGTTGTCTCATCTTCATAATTTTTTTGGTAAATTGAAGGCAAAACTTTATTATAGGTCCTTCATATTTAAGCCAAATTTTATTTGGATCTTTAAACTTTGAAAGTCATCAAATTAAGAAGGTCCTTATTGTTAATCTGTTAACAACAAAAGTCTTCTCATAGTTTTCAGTTTAACTCTTGCTAAATCTGAGTCAGTTAAACTCTCGTATACAAATTAGTCGAAACTTGACATACTTTAGAGTTTAAGTTAATCTCGCAAAACTCCCCAAGTTCATGCATGTTTTGTGAAATTAATCCTTAACAAGTTCTCAGATAAACCAAACTTTAGCTTTCAAAGGCCTTCTCACTATTTATTGTTAAATATGACCATCCATAAAATTACAATTAAAAGAAAGACATGTTGTCTTCACAAAAAAAAAAAAAGAAAGACATGTTGATAAGAAAAACAAATGCACATAAAAATTATTGCTTGGTGAGTGCCAAAATTCCTAATGAATAACAAAGATATTCTCAAGTTTATGTATGTACAAAATCCACAATTTAACATGAACCAATCGAGTGAACTCAAAACTATTACAAGTACATAAGTATGTAATTAATATTCAAGTAATTCTATGTGAACTCTAGGTAAAATAATTTTCACCTCCAAGAAGGATACATAAATACATGTTTTCTCCACTCCTCGGCCACTTTCTCTTCATGACATTCTTCACAGTCTTTGCTATCTTCTCCATCTTCATCACTTTCTTTCCTTTTTGTCTCAACTATTACTAGGCCTGTCCATCCGGGCCGGCCCGGCCCGGGTCGGGCAAAATCGGAGCCCGAACCCTTGCCCGGTGGCCCCGGGTCGGGCCCGGTCCGGGCCTGACCAGGCCAAGCTCCGTCCCGGGTTTTGTTTGTTTGTTTTTTATTTTTTTAAAATTTTTAAAAATCTCTTTAAAATTTAAAAAATATATAAAAATTACAGAAAATAAAAAACAATCTTATTATTAATAACTTGAAATGACATAAATTACAAATATAAAAAATTATAAAAATGAAAGATGATAAAAAATAACTTTTTTATTAATAATCAGTAAATCTTTTACAATTATAAATTTATTTCAGAATTCGTCGCATCACAATAGATGAGTACATCCCAACTAGGTTGGTACCTACTCACTTATATCACTATCATTTGTAACTATTTCCAAAATAATTCATTACACATTTAAAGCTAAGAAATAAAAATTATAATTTGATGAATATTGTTTAATCTTTATATCTATCTGCTAGTCCTAACTTTTTAAATTTATCTTCAATTCTAGCCATCCAATCGATGTCTTGCGTTCGCTTCTCGTACCTTCACCAATCTTGTAAGCATATTACCGCTTGTACAGTATACGGATCTAAGCATGTCATGTGGTCGTCTATCAAATGTCCTGCTGTGCTGAAGACAGATTCCGAAGCTACCGTCGAAACCTGCACTGTTAGTAAGTCACGAACTATGGTGGAAAGTATAGGATATGAAACTGATCCATATACTCTCCACCATTGCAAAATATCTAAAGCATTTCCTTGACATTTAACTAAAGAAGCTGATAATTATTCATTTATTTCAGAAACCTCCAACGATGATCCAAGTCCAGACCCACCAGTTAGCTCAGCTTTCATTGCATGCCTATCAAAACTTACATTTTTACCTCGGCTTGAGCTCGAAGGCGCCGAAGCTGCAGACTGTTGTGCAGCTACACCATGTCTAGCTGCATACTCATCATATAATATTTGAAAATAATTTCTAATAGCTAAATGATGAGAAGTAGCAGTAAGGGTGGATCCATCATCTAAGTGTATAATCTGTCCACCATACAATGATTATAACAAACTTCGAAGGCCAATATCCTTCAAACATGGATCAATAAGAACCCCCAATCCAAATATATAAGGAATATGCCTAAAATACTTATTAAATTTGCTCTCCATTTAAAAAAATTATTGCTCCAAAAGTATCATCCATACGATATTTGGCAAAAAAAATTTGAATATTTAAAATTTGTAGAGCAGCTAAAGTAATAGTTGGATAATAACAAGCAGATAATAACATAGTAGTATCATAAAAAACTTGTAACATCTCATTTAAATTACATATAATTGTCCATTCATCTTTAGTTATTCTATAAGTGTTACCAGAGCTAGAACTAGAAGCATAATAATTTATAAAATTACTTATAATTTCTTTATATTCTATTGTCACACTTAACATTGCATAGGTGGAATTCCACATATGGTCAACATCTTTTGGAATTAGTCTAGCCTTAATATTTTTTTCTTTTACACATTTGTTTCCATCTTTTAAGTCTTTGTTCAGAAGCAGTATGCATATAAGCAACTGTTCTAATATTTTCTATCATGGGTTTAATTTCAGTAAACACACTTTGAATAATTAAATTTAAAATATGGCATATACATCTAATATGAAAAAGTTCACCAGGACAGGGCAATGACAAAGTTATTTTGAGAAAATCTACAGCTACATTGTTATTACTTGCATTATCTAGTGAAAGAGAAAATATTATTTGATCAATTTCTAGTTTCGTAAGTTCTTCAACTATTAAATTGGCTACAATAATACCAGTATGTGACTCTTCAATTGCAATAAAAGAAACAACTCTTTTAAACATTTACCAATTGCAATAACTTGTTTGTGCTCTAGATGTCCAAATATCAGAAGTTAAAAAAAATTATAGTTTAAATTTTTAAAATAAGAAATTATTTTTCCTTGTTCTGTTTGATAATGTTTTAAAATATCACGTTGATAGGTTTGATGAGAAAATTTTTTAAAATCAGGATAAAAACCATCTCTAAATAAATCTTCAAATTCATTATCTTCTACTAATTTAAAAGGAATATTTTAAGAATGATAAACCTGATGACGCATTTCCTGGCTCGGGCAACGTCATAATTCCAAGTACCGAGACTACCAGAAGGGGAGGATTGGGAAATCATAGATTATCGGATATCACCTTGAGGAGTCTGGTCTTTGTTGTGTTTTTCTATATGGTGTTTGAGGTGGTTAGTGCTGCTCTTACGATGAGCTTGGAAAATCCGACCGCACAACGCATATTTAGCCTTCTGGGTGAGGATCCTACCGTGTTCATCCTTGGTGACGTCTATCTTCTCAAAAAAATCCACACATCGGATCTCGGTCTTTTAGGAGCTCTTGGTGCATATTCGTCGCCACCGGATTCGGGATTACCACTGGTAGGATCGATAGGAGGAGTAGCTGTTGTTATAGGAGGACTCATTTCAATATCGGTAGGAGATAGATTTTGCTCTTCATAAGCAGATCCAGAAACCATTTGATGAAAGGATTAGAAAGTATAAGAGATTATAAGAGAGTATAAGATTGTATAAGAGGATATTAGAGAGAAGTATATGAGTTTTGGTGTGAGGAGAAGAAGTGAAAACCCCCATCTATTTATAGAGAGAGCCTCCTAGGCAAATTATCAAAAAACCCTCACCAAATAGCCGTTTTTTGACCGTTGTAAGGGGCAAAACAGTCAAAATGCCAAAATAACCATTTTGGCCGGGCCGGGTCGCCCGACCCGGCCCGACTTTTTGCCGCAACAGCGTCACAAGCGTGTGATCGTTGCGGGGCGTCGCGGCTCCGGGCCCGGCAACCGCCCGCGACCGATTTAGTTGCCCGCCGTTGATCTGTTCCGGGCCGCTTGGCCGGGTCGATGGTCGGCGTCAGCAGGGGGACCCGGACCCGCGCGTCTGGCCGGAGTTTCTGCGACCAGAACCCCGGGGCGGGGCCGGGTTCCGGGCCGGTCGGGCCCAGGCCGGGTTCCGGACCTCAGGGCTTTTTGGACAGGGCTAACTATTACGTTGATCGCCAACACCTCCTCTATCAGCTTCTTATTCAAAACTTAATCGTACTTGTAAAGGTTGGCTTCTTTCTGCCTTATATATACCTTGATTAAGGATTAATTTTTTGATTGGAGAAGTTTGATAAGATTTTATTGTTATTTATAATGGTTTTGTGAGAGAGCAGTAATTATAACAATCTTCATTATAAGTGTAAATAAAATTATGTTTGGTATCAAGAGTTAGTGGAGGGGGCCAATGAGGGGGTGTTTAAATGAAAAATTGATGATAATCATTGGAGAGGTTATAAAAAATGTTGTAGGGCATTTTGGAAAGAGATGTTTTAATATAGAAACCCGCTTTTATAATTGTACTAGTTGGATTGCACGTGCAATGCACGCGGTCAAATTTTTA